TTTGCCTCTCTATCCTTTTTCTTCCCCAACTGACCCGATAAAAGAAGGGACTTTTGCTCCTGCCCAGAAAGGGGTTGCTCCTGCAGAGATGTTAATGTCTGTCGGTCACCTTTTTGGTGTGACTCGATGGAAACACGCAATATCCTAAAGGCTTTAGAAGCCAAGGAGTGGAGGAGGAAGGGGGGAAGTGAGCAACTCAATATACATCATCACTATCATCATCATCATAATCCTTTATATTTCTAGGGCTGCCTGACTCATGCTGGCTGCTGTGTGCAGCTCAGACGGGATCTGGGAGAACTGGGGTCCCTCCTCCCCAGGGTCAGAGGAGTCAGCAGTGTCCTCCAGGCTGGCTGGGACCTCGCAGGCAACTTTGCTTCTCTCCCAGGCAGCCCACGACACTGGAGCAGCCCTGCTGGGAATGTGCCCTTGTGCTTCTATCCCTGTCAAAACACTTGGAAAACATAAGAAAGCACGATCAGCTCCTATTCATAAAATATTTTATGCAAGGAAGTATTTCTGCCTGATAGATGAGCAGGGATGGCTGGAAGGACGGCGGAGAGAGCGGTTATCCTGTCTCCCTGCCCGACGAGGAGGTTGTATTGATCACCCAAGAGTCTGCCCTGGCTCTAGCACTCGTCGATATTGCGATTATTGATTCCCACTATGGAAAACAGCGTGTGCGTATTAAATGTGACGGTGACACCAACGGGGAGGGGGCTGCAAATCTGCTGCAGGACCGACAGGTCATTCAAAACCCCCTCGGTGCACTGGGTTTGTGGCGTGAAAATAAAAAGGCAGTTTGCAGGAGGGCAGGAGGATCCTGACTGTACAAGCACACATCTGGAGAGGGGAGCAATCCCCATGCCTGCAGCAGATGGGGTTTTGGGGAGGACCAGGGTGACAGATGGGCGCATAAAGAGGAGCAGAGTGGAAAAGTGGCCCGAGAACCAGCACTGCCACACCGCTGAGAGGACATGGACTGGCTGATGGTGGCTCAAAGACACTAAGGAAAATCATGCTGGAAAAGCAGCCCTTGGAGAAAGGTTGATGAGACTGGAGTTGTTTAGCTTAAAGCAGACTTGAGGAGAATTAATGCAGTGGATGCAGTGTACCCCCTCTGCAGTACTGCAGTCAGCTCTGGAGTCCCCAACACAAGAAGGACATGGAGCTGTTGGAGTGGGTCCAGAGGAGGCCACGGAGATGATCCGAGAGCTGGAGCACCTCTGCTATGGAGACAGGCTGAGAGAGTTGGGGCTGTTCAGCCTGGAGAAGAGAAGGCTCCAGGGAGACCTTCCAGCACCTTCCAGTACCTAAAGGGGCTACAAGAAAGCTGGGGAGGGACTTTTGACAAGGGCATGCAGTGATAGGACAAGGGGTAATGGATTTAAACTGAAAGGGGAGATTTAGATTAGATCTAAGGAAGAAATTTTTCCCTCTGAGGGTGGTGAGGCACTGGCACAGGTTGCCCAGAGAAGCTGTGGCTGCCCCATCCCTGGAAGCGTGCCTTGGCAGGGGGGTTGGAACTAGATGATTTTTAAGGTCCCTTCCAACCCAAACCGTTCTATGATTCTATGAAAATAATCTTCAAACACCCCAAAAGCTTCTGCAGACATTAAAGGCATGAGATGTTCTCCATGTCTGCTGAGGAGAGGAGATGCCAGGGATTGCAGCAAGGTGGGGTCATGTTAGCCATTAAGGAAGCATTTGATGGTGGCAAGCTGGCGAGAAGATCCGTGGTCCTTTCCAGCCCTGTTGCTCTCAGTGTTTATGAACCTGCAGCCGTGGAGCCCAGGGATCTCCTCCCATCGAGCACGGACCAGCTGTATCATTGGGGAAGGGTGTCTAAAATGGGTTCAATGAGTCAGTAAGGTCCCTGTGATCAAGTTCTGGGGGTTTTGGCTTAAAATCTGCCCTCTGCTTTCCCCAGGGTGAGGTGTTTGCCAGGATGGTTTCCTGAAGCAGGAGTGAGGGGGGCACATGCCCATTCCTGCATTTGGCGACTTGCAGGTGAATCTGCAGGTCAGGAAGAGCCAAGGGGATGGTCTGAGTCATCAGAAAATGCTCAGGCCATTTTCAGAGCTGAGGGAGGTGTTGCTGGTGTGGGAAGGAGGAATCCAAAATCCAGATTCCTGCATGGGACAGCGCCTTCCGGCATTGTGTGGGAAGGACGAGTTTATCCGGTGATAAACTGCATAAGTTTATCCAGTGATACTGCTGCTCATCTCAAAGGAATCAGAAGAACCCAGGCAGCATCCAACCATCGCTCTCCTCAGAGCTTCCATCCTTCCCTTGGGATCATGACTTTAAACACAATTTTTCCCGTGGGACACAGGACTGGCGATAAACAAGAAGTCACATTGACGTGGAGGACAAGCTTGTGCCCTGGACGTCAGTAATGACTAGGGAGCAAATTCCCACCCAGCAGCACCTCTGTTCTCCTTCCCACAGTCCTGGGCTGTGGATGCACTCATCTTCATGATAGGACCACCAGCAGCAACCAGCCTCTCCTGCATTGCCCAGCGCAGCCCCAGCCCAGGAGAAGGACACATTCCCGCACGTGGGACAAGGACCAACAGCGCAGTTGGATATGTTTGTCTCCCCACCACTGTGGTGTGAACTTTCTGAGCCTTTCGTCCAAAAGTCCCTGCAGGGAGGCTGTCCCTCCACGCAACAAACGTGTGTTACTACTGACCGTTGCTGCTGAGGGGATGCACAGACCCTCCTCCTGGGTGTAGTTGTCCATTTTCGAGGAGAAGATCTCCAGCAGCGAGAGCAGGAAGACTCCAGGCATTTCACCAATGCCATCAGCAGGACCAGGAACAAGCCTGAAAGTGTTCCCAGACTGTTACACAAAGCCACACTGAATATTTGCAGCTGGATACCTCGTATACCAGGAGCTGAAGGCCATACTCACATTCTCTGCCTATTCCCAAGACTGGCCAAAAGGCCTGGCCACCTTGCAAACAAGCATCCTCAAGGCTTTCAGGGACCGATCTCAAGGACATGAGAAGGATGCCCAGCAAGAAGCCATGTAAACCCAATGGATGAGAAATACTGGCACAGGGACCGGCATGTGACTTTGGGTGGCCGGCGTGGCCCTGAGGGAACAGCTCAGCACAGGGACGGTGAGGATTTACTTCTTTCACATCAGGTTTGATCTTGAAGGCTCTGCCTATTTGGGTTCTCCATGGTGGCAAATCAACCATTGGACTCTTGGGAGGTTGAGAGAGCATCTGCCAAGACACAGGCATCTTGGGAACACCTCAGGGATGAGACCTGCTCTGAGATACAGCAGAGTGGGGCAGTGACTGGTTTCAGCTTCTACTGTTCGGCAGGAGATGCTCCGTGTGCTCCCGGTGATGAGGTTTTTCTTTCTATTGTGTGTTACAAAGCCACAGCCCCGCAGCTGTGCGAGAGACATGGGATGAAACCACCCTGACAAAGCACGTCCTCAGCACCAGTGGGAGCCTTGGAGCTCAGCAGCTTGGTTTCAACATGCCCCCAGATTCCTGTAGCTGCATGGAAACCACCCTAAAGCCAAGCCAAGCTCCAAAAAAAACCCATAATCTAGTGAAAAAGTTCCTGCTACTGTCCCGGTCCTGTCCCCACTGAAGCCAGATCTTCTGCTAATCCCCCCAAGCAAGTGTGTGAAACCTGCTGGTTCTCCAGGTGAGGCTGGAAGCCCAAAGACTGCTCCAGGAGGAGATCAGCCGTAGTCCTGGACCAGCCGGGTTTTCCCAGGGGAAGTGGAAGGCTGTAAAATTACCGGAGGGTTGATATTCCATTTCTATCTCTCTATGTCTATATTCACACACACGTTCATATGTGCCTGTATCTATACGTACACACACCCCCCTACATACACACTATGCATAGATCCGCCGTCTGCCACTAATTATAAGGGTCTGATTAAACAGGAAAACAAATTTGCCAACACTCGTCTTCCAACCCCTACTAATATTCGGCGAATAAAGACGCCTAAACCCTTCGCGATTTTGTTTTCCCAGTTTGGTAAAGGCACTTTCTGACGGTGTGAAGCAGCAGTTTGTTATAAACCCAGTAACTGCGGCGATTCCCACCACATCTGTGCAGGCACTGGTATGACACAACGTCTCTGTTCACTCCCACTCCGTAGCGTTTCCTCTATTTTACTTTTTGCTGCGATGCAGGGGAATAAAAGACGAAAACCTTCAGCGCCGTGCTGCGCTTTTGGGGCACTGGAACAGGTTGCCCAGAGAAGTTGTGGCTGCCCCATCCCTGGAAGTGTTCAAGGCCAGGTTGGATGAGGCTTTGGGCAACCTGGTGTAGTGGAGAGTGTCCCTGCCCATAGCAGGGGGGTTGGAAGGAAATGATCTTTGAGGTCCCTCCTAACTCAAACCATTCTATGATTCTGTGATTCTAAGATGGTCGCAATGTTTCTGCCCCATAACCTGAGATGGGTCCCAGCTGGCGGAATCGAAGGATGCCTGCTGGAGCATCTAATAATTCAGGCAAGGTACCGGCTGTAAGTGTGTCGTGAAGGTCAGTCGTCTTCTTGTTCCATCGAGGGATCAGAAATTAATTTTGATTAAGGGTATTTAGTAATTAAATGCCACCTGACCTACGGCACTCCAGCCCAGCCATGCAGGAGTAGAGCTGCTCGCTGTCAACCTGACTTCTCTCCTGAGCCACCAGCAGCTCTGCTTCCCATCACAGCGCATTGTCCAGTCTCCGTTGGGGGCTCCGGTGGTGACCAAAGGGGTGGGAGATCCAGGGGGGTTTGCTGTTGCTTGCTGGAGGTTCCCAGCTGGAGAACGTATTGGAAAGAGGGAAGAAACGTTTTTTGTTAACACACTGGAAGACAGCACTATATTGGTCTGAAACTCCTTTCCTCTCTTGACTTCCATACAAAAATGGCGCCTGTGCCCTGTGAAACGAACGCAAGACAACACTGCAAAACCGAAACGAACCAAAATAAAAACCCCACTTACGCCGCCCTCTCTCCTTCTTAGACGAAGCTATATCCATACAGACGTCTTTCCATCTTTACTGCTTGAGCTCCCTTTCTCCAAGCAGGCCTTGGGTTTAGCACCTTGTTTCTCCTGGGCAGTGTTGGCCCTGTTCTGCTCTACCACCGTGCCGCCAGAGGCGGGACTGCTGGTTCGAGAAGGTTGCGTGTTGGCCTGGGTGCTGCTGTAGCTCTGAAACGCTATGTCTAACTGCTCCTGGGCCACTCGCAAGTGTTTGTGAAGGGTGGACAAGTCTGCTGGGACGTTCTCATCTGGGCTGGTGCACTGCTGCTCCTGAGCGACGTTGGCCAAGTTCTGCTCGTGAGCCATCAGGCTGTTGGGGATCTTGGTGGACTTCTCTGATTTCACTACCAGGTTGTATTCAGGAGGGCAGGAGATGTTCTTTGGGTAGGCATAGTTGTAGGGAGGCTGTCTAAAGCTGTTGATTTTCCGGTTGCGAATGGCATCTCGGATGGTCCCAAACCCCAGGTGAAACATCTCACACATGTTCAGCAATAAGCACAGACAGCTCACGACGTACATCACGAGGAGAAAGATGGTTTTCTCTGTTGGCCGGGACACAAAGCAGTCCACGGTGTGAGGGCATGGGACTCTGTTGCAGACATAATAGGCTTCTACCTCAAAACCATAGAGCAAATACTGCCCTACTAAAAAGCAAACTTCAAACGAAGCTCTGGTAAGTAGCTGGAAGACATAGATTTTCATCAGTCCTTCTTGCTGGATGCGCCTCCTCCCGTCGTGCTTTTGCTGCTCTTTGCTCTTGGGCTTGGCTTTGGCTTTCTCGCGTTCTGCTGCATCATCTGAGATCATGGGCTCCTCTTCGTCAGCTTCCATGGGGTCCTCCATGTTGCGCACTGCCTGCCAGTTCAAAGCAAACTGCTTCTTCTTCTTGAACCCCTTGAACTTCTTCTCCTCCTCCGCTGACCGGGCGATCCTGTGGATGGCATAGCCCAGGTACATGACCGAAGGGGTGGATATCATGATGATCTGGAAGACCCAGAACCTGACGTGTGACAGCGGCGCGAAGGCATCGTAACAGACGTTGTCGCAGCCGGGCTGCTTGGTGTTACAGGTGAACTTGCTCTGCTCATCGGAGTAGATGGACTCCCCCCCCACCGCCGTCAAGACGATGCGGAAGACAATGAGCACGGTGAGCCAGACCTTCCCCACGAAGGTGGAGTGATTGTGAATCTCTTCTAGCAGGCGGGTTAGAAAGCTCCAGCTCATGTTGGTCATAAGGGCTACTCAGTTATAACCTGCAGGAAGAGGGAGAAGAAGAAAACATAGCTGTAAGTCAACGTCTGTGGCTCCAGTCAACGATACGGCTGTGACAACAGCACATCTGTGACAGATGAGGTCGTCTTATCTCGAAGAGGCACCCTTCATTGCTGCAGCCGTCTCCCAAGGACCTGGGAAGGACCATGACATGGGGCTGACCATGAGGGCGCAGCATCGGGGAATGAGTCATGGCCAACGTTGGGATGTGCCGTGCCACCACCATGGGAGGCAGGGACAGCTGGTGGTACTGGATACTCACAGACTGATGGCACAGAAAGCCACAGCCCCTCCTAGACTCACCACTACCCACTTCGTTGCCTGTTTCAAGACGTTGCTCGGCTGTGAGGAGGGTTTGGGTGACGGTAAAAGTGAACGCAAGGCACCACGGAAGACACCTTGGCCCAAAAAGGTGCTCGACGTGCTCGTCTCTTGCTTGCACACCACGGGCGTAGGGGATGCTGCCCACATCACAGAGGCTTGCGCCGCTGAAATGTCTTTCACTAGCAAACCCAGAAAAATGCAAAGAATCAGCTAAAGAATGGGAATATTTATGTTTACAGGCTGATGGCCCTTTCAAGTTCCTTTTGAAAAAGCAAAACAAAACAAACGTTTAATCAAATGCAGACTGTTTTAAAAATAAACCTGGAAAAGCTTTCAGAGAAAACCATGTGTTTGTTAGAAGACCTGGACAGCTGGAGAGGAAGAGCTTGTAATAATCATTTTGTATTTAGCTTAACTTGCAGTGGGGCCTCAGCCCGAGCTCCTTGGGTGATCCCAGGCATCAGTAAACGCAGGTGGAAATTTTACTGCTTGACTGGCAGCAGCCCTGACAGGTACCCAGAGATGAGAGCAATAGGGAAAGCACCCAGATCCAAAGAGCACCATGGTGGGTGACAGCAGGGCTCTCACTCCAGGGCAGCGGAGAATGGGACCATCCTTCCTGCTCCCCTGCATCCTCCTCTGAATCATCCTCAGGCTCGTCATGGGGTTTACCCACCTCGTTTGCATGCAGACACCTGCTGGAAGCAGTAAATCAGGCATCTGTGAACCCAGTCCCACCCACGAAGTGATGCCTACCACTGCACCCAGAAGCAAAGAGCAGATGTGCTGGTGGCAAATGTAGGAGCCAAGCACATGGGCACGGGCACAAGTAAGTGGGGAGCAGCACGTGGCAGTGGCGTGTTATGGCTTGGCAGTAGCTGCCCTGGCACAGGCTACTACCCCATGGTCCTCCACGATCAAGCCTGGCAAGAGAAAGGAGCTGTTGTCCATCCACTAAAAGAGTACAGACACCCAACCGCCCCCTCTGTGTTGGCTAAGCATGGCTGGGCAGAGGTAAATGTCCAGGAGGGAAAATGATGCCGTGAGACATGAGCCTGGTCCCAAACTGGCTTTGCACCACTTTTACACGAAGACACAAAATTCAGGAAGGCCCCAAGTTTTCCAAGGCACAAGCCGGGCTTTGAGCCCATCCACCCGTGCCAGGCGCAGGGTGGGCACGGCCCCACGCCAGAACAAGAAAGGGAAAGTGCCTTGTCCTGTCCTCCACGTTGAGCCTTTCTGGAATGTGATTTTGCTCACGCTCCTTCCCAGGACAGGAGCCAAACGGGGCTGGTTTGCTCAGCGCTCGCCTTGGCGCTGCCCCGGGAGGCAGCAGCGTGGTCCGAGGCTCGAGATGCAGTGAAATTCTTCCGCTGTCGAGGGCTCTCGAGAGCAGGCGGATGGAATTTTCTAACCCTGCTATTTCGAGATCAAACAAATCCTCTGCGAACCCAAACCCCCGAGTCTTCACACGCCAGACCGAGACTGCGGGAGTGCTCCGCAGATGGTGTTATTCTTGTCCTGTCGCTGGGGAAACTGAGGCAGGGAGCAGAGAAACAGCTCATTCCAGGCTCTTCCAGACAGAAGGGGATGTGGGGAAGGTCTCCTCTCTGCCCTCAACTTATCTGGCAAAGAACAACAGCCCTCAAGGCTGCTGGGATCAAAATCTCCATCTCCTGCCCCAAAAGTGATGCCTTAGACCCAACGGTCAGTACAGGAACGCTGCTGCAGGTACAATTCAGCCACTGCAGAAAGCAATCGCCACAGAATTGTTTTTTATTTATTGAGGAAATTGGATTTATTCAGGGGCGAGATGGGAAAGTGCCTTTTTGCTTCTTTAGACTCAGTGGATACACCTTAAAGCGTCTTTAACCCTTCCTCTGATTCGTGTCCCCACTCGGATACGGGCAAAATGGGATGTTAAATGATTTGCAGGATGAATCTGGGTGCTCGGCCAAGCTCCAGCTGACATGGGGCTGGGAAGGGAAGACCCCACTGGGTGCAGCCATGGCCCGCTGCGGGACACGGCGCATCTGGCTCCGGAGCATCCAGGTCTGGCCGAGGCAGGGCTGGGGCTTGGATTGAGCACACATCGGCCCCAGGTCGGCTGGTCCCACCTGGGTGTTCAACTACCTCCTGGCTCCCATCTGCATCCCCAATTAGCTGCAAGCCCCAAATTGTTCTAAAACACAGGCTTCAAATGTCCTGTAGAACAGTTCATTCATCATTTTGGTGCTCACCTAAAGGGTTTATGAAGTCTACACCAGGGATGATTTACCATTTTGCGCGTGTTACTCAAGGACACAGTTCCCAAAGCTTGGAGTCACCACCCAACGGCAGTTTTGCTGGAGCCAGGAGGGTCTAACCAAGGTAATGATGGCTTTTGGAGTAAATATTCAAGTTTTGATCTGATATTTCTCAGGGTTGTCAGCAAAGCACCCACTGTCTCCTCTGGGAAACGTGTTTTGGAAAGGAGCACCCGATAAAGCGTGGGTTCAAAGCCCTCACAAAACCTCCAGAGTCAGGGAAAAGGAAAGAAAGAGCAAAATAACCGAAGCGGTGGGTTGTTGCTTTGAGAAGACCACCTCCTGTTACCAGCCACCAGCCCGAGCTGTTGATCCTGCTATTGACACCGCAGCTCAGCCTTCCGTGCACATCTGGACCTGCAGGAACATCTGCAGGAAACAGCCTCGAGCTGCTTCTGCGCCCCCGGGACCCCCCATTGCCTCTGTGTGTGACCACACCGTGACATTACACTCCGGTGTGTCCACCCACTCTATTTGAAAGCAGGAGCTGAAGGAAATGAGTTCAAAAACCCTCCTACAGTCAGTCCAGTTAAACTTCCAGTTACTTTTGTGACTCACTGGCTGGAAAGACTATACTAGGAGATTTCAATGCCTTTAATTGTTTGGGAGGGTTAATACACCATTATATTTTGGAATCAATTATAAGCAAACGAACTTGGAAGGAAGGATTTGTTCCTTGAAGGTTTTTCCAGGAAAGAGAAGTACAAATAAGGAGAGGCATTCAAAGATGTTTAAGGATAAAGATCAGGAAAGAGTTCATATAATCACAGAATCATAGATTTTCTGGAAAAAACATCACTCAAAGAGAAACTGCCACCCTGTAAATTTACACCAACTTCCTTCCTTTCCTAGGATTCTATCACTTTTGCTGCTAAATAGGATGGAAAAGGAATAGGATAGGAAAAGACTACATCTCATCTCCTCACAATGCCAACTACCAAAGCGCAAAAAAATGGATTTTTGCATCTTCTGTGTGCTTGAGACCTAATTGCTCCGTGCAGTGGAAAAGTTACACAGTCCAGTTCCATGGGGGAAAAAATAAAACACCTATGTGGATCTACAGCAGGTAGATGGATTAGATTAGATGGTTCATGTAGCTCAGTTACCTACCAGAGAGATTGTATGGGAGGACCCACCATCCCTCTGGTTTGGAAAACCATTCATTCAGTCATCTGTCTTCATCACCTCCACGTGATGTGCAGTGCGTGAAACGCACGCGGGGTACGAGATTCCTTCCAAAACAGCTACAAAGGGGTGGCCGGACCTCTCAACCTGCCAGCAGCATTTCCAGTGCCTTTGGCTCAGCCTTAAAATCAGGAAATTTGCGTGTAGCCAGGGACAGGAACGAGCTGTCGGCTCCACGTTCTCATCACAGTTACATCTTGAAACTCACTGACCCCCTCCGTGCAATCGCAAGCCCAACTGTTGGAACCTGGAAAACGTTAAAACCCGAGTCTAAAATGAGCAGAAGAAGGAAAAAAAAATAAATAGAAAAAAAAATATCTGTGCGAGGTGGACGTCCTTCCTCTCTACATGGTTCCCACACCGTTGCTTAAGCTGCAGGAAGGAAAAAACTCTACTTACAGAGACATGGTGCTTCTCGCAGCCGCTTTCCCGCCTCCGCCGACATTCCTGTGCCGCCAGCCCTCCGCCTTGCCCTAGATAAACTCCCGCCGCCTCAGTCCAGCCGTGCTCCAGCACTTGGAAACTGGAGCTCAAGGGAAGTATTTAACGTGCTGTCAAACCCCGCCTCTGCTGGGCACCCACCGCCGGAGGTCCTGCACCCCTACGGCCAGTCCCACCACTGCTCCCCGC